GCTGCGCCACCCAGGGATCCCAAAAATAACACTTTTAAAAATGTAAAGCAGGGGCATCCGGGTGGCTCATTCTGTTGGATGTCTGCCTCTGGCTCAGCTCATGATCCCAGGGTCCAGGGACCTGAGCCCCATGTTGGGCTCCCTGCTCATTGGGGAGCCTGCTTCTCCCTCTCCCTCTGCCCCTCCCACCCCCCTGCTTGTGCTCTCTCAAATAAATGAATAAAATCTTTTTAAAAAATAAGAATGCAAAGCAGTATGGCTAAAATGCCAAATAACTGCGTTAAGATGGAATCCAGAAACAGCCTGGAGGGGAGGAGGCTGACACCAGGACAACCAGTCAGGGTGTCAGTGACACAGGCCAGCTGAGGGGTCCTGTCGGCCAAGGCTAGGGTGGGAGCAGTGGACGTGGGGAGGGATGGCAGGTTGTGGGTGTGTGCTGAAGGCAGAGCCAAAAGGATGTGCTCATGGATGGGATCTGGTGTGGGAGAAAGCCAAGGGTGGCCCTGGGGCCGGTGACCTCAGCTGCGGGGATGGAGCTGCCGTTTCCGGTGATGAGAGTGAAGGCCCCTCTGCAGCCTGCTCTCCTCCTTGCTCTGTGCTGCCTGGGACTCGCTGCAGCCCCTGCGCCTCTTGGAAGCCTTGCTGGGCTGGAGGCCAGGTAAGGAAGGAGGAGAGGACAGAGTCATATGCCACCCACCATGGCCCTCGAGTTGGAGCGGGGACAACAGAGCATGTGTGCCTCTCGGCAAGGTTCACACCAGATTTCAAAAAAAAAAAAAAAAATCATCCTTATGGCTTCTTCCAGCTTCCAGAGCCCCATCTCCAAGAGTTGCTTTCCAGTTGGGAAGTAATTGAGAAATAATTGCTAATATTTCACAGAGGCAGCAGAAGCCTCGGCCCCGGCCTCTGGAAACAAATTAGAGATGAGGGCGAGGCTTAGAAGCGGAGAACGGCCCTGCTTCTCATTAGCAATTGCAAATCAGATTACGGAAAAAATGTTTCTGCAGTGAGGATGGTGTCTGCCTGGAAAAAATTAAACCGGCTTTGGGGCCAAGCGGAGACCCTGAAGCGGGATTCAGAATCTGGGTCTAAGGGTAGGGCTCGAGGATCCAGTTGCCCAAAGTCAGCCAAAGAGCACACTCACCGCGGCCCGTCTGAGCCTCAGTTTCCAAGTCCGTTCAATGGAAGGAGGCTGCAGGACTCCAAGCTCAAGCTGGACGCTGGTGGCTCCGTGCTGGGAGAGACCGTCTGCTGCCAGACGCTGGGGCCCAGCAGCTCCAGGAGCCGGGGTGGGCAGGGGGCGCACAGCAGAGAACACTCGCTCTGACATCTGTGCCCGGCTTCGCCCCTACGTCCTGGATCCCTCCCAAGGAAGGAGTGACGGCGGACGCTGACTGGGCGACAGGCCCAATTATAAATTATCTGGCTACATTCATTCAATCCTCATACAACCCTACGACGGAGGTACTACTATGACCCCCGTTTTACAGAGAAAGACAAACAAGGCACAAAGGGCCCAGGGTGGGCCAAGGCCACAGAGCAAGCTGCAGAGCCAGGCTGATCTGAAATCCCACGCGCTCACGCACCGGGCTCTCCGGCCATCCAAGAACTGTGCTTCTCCCTGACTCCACCCCCAGACTTCCAGAACCTCACAGGTTTTGGCAGTTGGCCGGCTGAAGGATACCAGGCTCGGAAGCCCCGCAAACCTGGGTATGAATCCTAACTCCACCACTGGCAGCTGCATCACCCACGGCCCGTTTTCACTTGTGTGTGTTTTTAAAATATAGATTTGGCATCGATTTGCTCTAAGAAAGGAAGCAGGCCAGGGTGCGAGATACCAGACCGTATCTGAGGGCCAGCTCCTCTCCTTTTTCTGCAGCCCCGACTCGGGCCCAGGGCTAAGGGGCCCTCGGGGCTCCCTAGAAGCCTCTCTCCCCCACAGGCTTCTCCGTCCTTCCTCTGACTGAGAAGCCTCCCTGTACCCCCCGCCACCCTGCCACCCGCACCGGAGCTCCCTCCTGGGCACCTGTCGCTCCAGCTCATGGGACGCCTCCTGCATGGCCTTCCTTTGCCATCCAGAAATGCAGCATCCCGTGGTGACCTTAGGGGTCTCCCTTCCCTCATTCCCACTAGAGGTGGTGTTGGAGGGAGACAGATCCTTCAGCCTGGCATTCAAGGCCCTCCCTACCCAGGAGGCCCTTGTACTCTGGAGAAGCTGACCTCCTTTCAGTAACTTCCCCAGGCTCCGTTTTCCCTACACACACAGGAGCCTTTGTCCCAAGTCTGTTTCCCCCAGCTCCCCCCTCCCCACCCCGCCGACCCACCTCAGGGGCCAGGAGTGGGGCATGAATTCTGAAATACACAGATACTCTGGCCAGAGCTGCCCTGGGGACAAACCCCAAAAGAGAGACCAAAGCAAAAGGGTCAGGTTACTGGAGAGATAATCTGATTATATCTAGTCAAGTGGGGAGGGGGGATGATGGGAGGAGGAGGGGAGCCCCGAGCCCAGAGACATGGGAAAGAGACAAGTCAGGACGCCGGAGCCAGAAGCTGGGGAAGAGCGACAAGAGGACAGAACAGAACACACAAGATACAGGCAGCCCTGGGTTCCAATTCTCACTCCACCGTACACCTCCACCTGCTGGCAAATGAGCCTGCACCTATACTCCCCGAGGCCTTGTGTCTTATTCTTTTTTTTTTAAGATTTTATTTATTTATTCATGAGAGACAGAGAGAGAGAGAGAGAGAGAGAGAGAGGCAGAGACAGAGACACAGGCAGAGGGAGAAGCAGGCTCCATGCAGGGAGCCTGACATGGGATTCGATCTCAGGACCCTGGGATCATGCCCTGAGCCAAAGGCAAACGCTCAACCACTGAGCCACCCAGCCGAGTGTGTTATTCTAAGGTCAGGCCAACCCACCCAGCCGCCTAAGGCTTGTTAGGCTAATTATGAGAGAAAGCACAGGGCAAACAAGCCAGGGCCCGGGCCTGGCCCTGTCCGTGCATCCCAGTGTCACTTCCCCTCGTCCCCTTTTCACGCACAGGGAAGGGCAACGTGGCCCCCCACCGCACCCTGGAAGCTGGCAAGTACCCCCACAGCACCGCTGGCAGCTGGTCTGTCAACCTGAGAGCGAATCTGCCCCCAGGGAGGCTCCTAATTTAATCAGCTTCACAAATCAGCTCGATGGGCTTAATTGATCTTTTTCACTCCTAATATTGTTGCTGTCACTTTCTGAGCTGTGCCTCCTCCAGCCACCCTAGACGTCATGCTCAGCCAGCTGGAGAGGGAGAGGGAACACTGGCTATGGAGCCAGGAAGCTCGCCGGTACCCAGGAAGGAGCGCAGGGAGGGGTGGAGGGGGGCAGGTCAGGACCCACGCACCCAGAGGGGCCAGGTGTCACTGACCACGGGATTTTCATGCGAGTGTAGAGCAGAAGGGCTTCCTAGTGAGCCATCTGCTGGGGCCTCAGGCAAGTTAGTCTAAGCCCTTCTGTGCCTCAGTTTCCCCGCCTATAAAGGCCATAGCAGGTACTCTGCCCCTAACGATCTACAAGTGCTTCTGGCACACCTACTATGATCCAGGCACAGTGCGAGGCATAGGGGATGGTGGAAAGCAAAAACTAACCTGTTCTGCCCTCACAGGGCACTCTAGACATGCCCCCCACCCCATGGAGCACAGCGACCAGTGGGGTACACTGACATTGACCCAATACACACATGACCAAATGGCAAACGTCAACTGTGAGAAGTATTGGAAGAGAAGGTTCATCATGGCATGAGGGAGATAACAGGGCAGGGGGGTGCTAGAGTTGAGGTATGAGGAGGAGGTGGTGTTATCTAAGTGAAGAAGCAAAAAGAACATTCCAGGAGAAAGGTCTCTGTCTTTGGTTAAAAGAACGAAGGAGCGTGGGCAAAATGACACTAGACCAGAGGCTCCTCACCAGTGGCTTGGCAAGTTTTTGGCCAGGTTGTAAGAAATACATTTTGCATGGTGACTGGGAACACAGAACATACCCGCGTGTTCATGTCTAATTACCTGCATATGCCAATTTTAAAAGATGGGTTAAAAATTACTCTTGGGACACCTGGGTGGCTCAGGGGTTGAGGGTCTGTCTTCGGCTCAGGGGATGACCCCAGGGTCCTGGGGTCGAGTCCACATCGCCTGCTTTTTCCTCTGCCTGTGTCTCTGCCTCTCTCTCTCTCTCTCTCTCTCTCTCTCTCTCTGTTTCTCATGAATAAACAAAATCTTAAAAAAAAAAAAGTTACTCTTGCCACCTTAAATGTGATCGGCTCTGAGAGTTTCTATTTCTGTTCTAGCCTGTCCTATTATTCCTTTAAGAAAATGCAGTTTACCAGCCACTCTGTTGATTTCCCAGCCGCCTTGTGGGTCATGACTGCAGGTTAAAATAAAATTAAAATTAAGAAACTGAAAGAAAGGGAGACATTGTGCTTTGCGGGGCCTTGTGGGCTGCATTCAGGAGCTGTGCCTTTTCCCCACGAGTGACGGGAAGCCCCAGTTCTCTTCTGCGGGGCAACCTAAGGAGACTTGCATTTTGAAAAGGTCACCCTGGCTGCTGCCTGGAGGAGACGGGAGTGGAGGCAGGGAGACCAGAATGGATGCTGCTGCCATGGCGAGCCAAGAGGTAGCACAGAGGGGGATCCGTGGGTGGCTCAGAGGTTTAGCACCTGCCTTCAGCCCAGGGTGTGATCCTGGAATCGAGTCCCGCATCGGGGTCCCTGCATGGAGCCTGCTTCTCCCTCTGCCTATGTCTCTGCCTCTCTCGGTCTCTCACGAATAAATAAACAAAATCTTTAAAAAAAAAAAAAAAGAGCACAGTGGCTTGGAGTTCAGTCTTACAAAGCAAATGAGCTAATGGGTTTGAAACATTTCGTGCCAATTAAAAATATATGTATGTTTTATGAAAAGTCGCAAGGTGCAACCACAAGATCTCCAAATATAGATTTGGGCCACCTGCGCACAATCAGGTTTCCCAGCCGTACCATCTTGGGAGAATCACTTTGCCCCACTCGGTCTCAGTTTCCTCCCTGTAAAATGGGTCCCAAGAGTTTGTTCCTTCTGGAGCCATTGCCAGGTTTGGGCACAATGGTGCGGATCCTCAGTCAAATCCCGGACCTGTAGCGAGAACCCAATAGATCACGGTTATTTAATACGAACAGAAATGTTAGACTGTATCAGCCATCCATGTGCGCTCAGCGCCTGTTTGGTGCCAGGCACGGGGGACACGACGGAAGATAAAATCACAGAGCCCCTGCCCTGTGGCAACGCCTGGCCCAAGAGGAAATTTCCAGAGCCATGACCGATTTAGCTGGGTTGATCCTGAGCCTGGGTCTGTGACCGCGCCGCACAGCTCACCTGATCCAGCTCTCCCATTTGCAGGCGAAGCAAAGGAGGCTGCAGCCCGCAAAGGCTCATTTTTAAACAGGTCGAATCTTCCTATGAGCATTTACCTGAGCTCAGTGCATTTCTGCAGGGAACTGTACCAGGCCTGGCGGATCTGCTTGCCTGTGGGGTGGCTCTTGCACATCCAGCCTCCCACACTCGCCCCCTCCCTCTCGGAAGCTTCCACGGTGCAGATTTATGAAGAAGCCAGAGCAACAGCAGTCTGTGCAGCCGGAGCTGGCACCATGAGGTAGGCCATGCGGAAATTCCCCGAAAGCCAAGCTGGGGCAGCAGATAGGGACGGTGGCCGGGGGCACCCTGCTGGTGAGCACTGCCACCTCCCCTGGCACCTCTGAGCCCCAGTGAGGTGGCCACAGGCAGCTGCGCTCAAGTCCGTACTGCCCACCCCGCACTGGCTTCTGGACCCCCCGGCAACCATGCAGATGAGAGGTGCGTCCTCCCTTTAGCACCTTCACTGGAGTCAAGACTCACTGGCCCTGATTTCGGAGCCACGGGGCCCCTGACCATCAGCTGATTCTTCGAGAGCCTGCCAGGTCTTCATCCAACAAAACACTTTATCCACTCCTTGGCCCACTGCCTGGAAGTGGGGGAATGACCCTCAGGTCTGTGTGGCTGGCTCTGAGGCCCTGTCCTGCCGGTTCCGTTCCTCCATATCTATGAGGAATGTCCATCCTATGTCTCCAGATTTGCCTCTCTGGCCTATTTCTCATCTGTGTCTCTCAGTCTGGGCAGATCTCTCGGGCTCTGTCTGTCTCGGGGTGTTTCTCTCCACATCTCTGGCCTGCATGTCTGCAGATGTCTGGGAACGCTCCTCTTGGTTGTGTCAGGTGCCTCTCTCTCTCTCTCTCGGCGTCTGGAGTCGCCCGTCACTTTCCTTTCCGTGTTTGCCCGTCTCTGCCCACATCCTTCTTTGGCTTTGTGTCACTGAGAGAGCGTCTTTCTGGTACCTCCCTGGGGCGAGGGAGTGGGAGATGTCTCTTTCCTGGGCCTCAAAGCACCAGCCTTCTGGTTCTTAGAGTGAGCCAATCAGACTGCAAAAGTCACCTCTCCGCCAGCCGGCCCTCCAGCCCCCACCAACTCATACACAGACTCAACCACTTCCCTAAGCTTTATGCCAGCAAAAGGTCCAGGGGACCTCGACTCTGCTGGCAAGTTATCCCATCCACACTCCTCGCAGTCAAAATGCTAATTCTATTGCCCTCCATCGGCCCTCAAATGCTGCTCCCACATTTCTCAGCTGTGTGACTTCCCACAAGTCACTTAACCTCTCTATGCCATCCCCACCCCCCACGCCCAGGGGTTATCTACACAGACTCATGCTGCCTTCTCAACTGATCCCTCCTGTAGAGGATAAACAGGACTAATCACTCTTGGAAGGTCTCTCTATTAAAGAAGAAAAACCTGAGTTTGCCAGTGTGTGAATCTCCATGTTGGGACAACAGCTGCACTCTCTGCATCAGGTGTGGGATCAGCCACTCTACCTGGAGGAGAACCAAGCTGTCTCCTCGCTCCTTACTAGGCAAGAGAGAAAGAGACTTGTTCCCTATGAGGCTGTTGCTCCATGAAAAATAAAACTAAATGCAGCCATAGGGAGCCCACTGACGGTGGGAGGATCTTATTTGATCACCCTGATGCTGTGCCTTTTCAAGGGTAGGAGGAAAATGCAAGTACTAGCTGGGACTAGGCCTCTACTGATTTTCAAACGTCCCCAACAAGGCTCACGAGACAGTGAGCAATGATGCGTATGGTTTGTCCGGGCAGGATTTCTGGGCAAGGGGGCCCAGACCGTGCAGCCTGCCGAGCTGCAGCGAGGTGTTTATAGACCCCACGCTCTGGATCAGGAGCTGCAGTGGGGCCAGAGACAGACAAGCTCCCTCGCTCCAGCCGCAGCAGAGAAAGCTTTTAGGTCATAGGCTCACACCAGACACTGACATATGGTGCTGCATTAGCCGACCTCCGGTGAGATAGGGTGCTGGTCGTCGCTCCCATTTTATAAATGGACAAGGTGAGGCCCAGCAAGGGTAAGTAACTGGCCCAGAGCCACCCAGTTACCCTGGGTAGTCTGGTTCCCCAGTCTTGCTCTTAACCTCCTGTGTAGTTCTAGAGACCAGAAGGTAGAGCAGACCAGCGAGCCACTAAATTCCCCGCATGTGGTACACGCACCTATCAGGACTTTTCAAGGATAAAGACAGGACCTCACTGTCCTCATGTTTTGGTTCTCCTAACCATGTTTTCTTCTTTGTGTCAAAACAGAGTTACCAACACTGTGGATAGTTTCACATATTTATATTTCACAAATTAATGCCTTTAGTCCTCAAAGTGCAATGCAGTAAAAATTATACTCCTTCCAAGATAGTTACATTATTTACAAAGATGATTTGTGATTTCATAGTGCTCCACACAATGTGCGCTGGTGACATAAGCTAGGGCTGATCATTTCTTTTGGGGTGTTGCTTCGAGGTGACAAAAGTAACCTCTTTAGGGGGGTAGTATCCTAAGTCCGAGGTGGGAGCCATCCGCCCAGGGCTGCTAGGTTCAAAGATGGATGGAGGAGGCCGTGAGCCAAGGAATGGATTTCTGATGGACAGAAAGAACTGTGCAAGGTAATAAATGTGTTGTTTTCAGCCAAAAAGAAAGAGTCTAACCTGGACACTTCTCCTGAACCTGAGGCCCTTTTGCCCACCCCCACCCACCCCCCAGCTCCCTTGGGAGGTACTAAATATTTACAAGAACAGAAGTAGTGTGAGGAGGAGATGTGATCAATTCTCTCAGGGGTGAGAGTCAGGCACCAATCAGGATGGCTTCACAGAGGTAATGACCACCAAGCAGGGGTTCTGCAGGATGAGTGGCAACTCATGAAGCAGAAAAAAGGAGCAGGAGCATTTCACATGGAGTGAAAAGCCTGTGAAAAGGCTCAGACTCAGTGAACAGTCTGTGTAGAAACACCATCCCAGGGCTCCGGGCTACCTGGATTCAAGTGCAGAGGAAAAATGTGGGTAACAGTGAAGATAAAGCCGGAAAGGTAGGTCCAGATCATGCAGGGGCTGCAGAGGTAAGACCTTCTCTGCAGGGAAGAGAAAGAAAGGGAAGAGCCTGGAGTTCACGTTCTTGGAGGAAGTTTCAAATATGCTGGAAATGTTTAGCCTGGAGATGAAAGAATTACAGCCTGGAAAGGCAAGAATGTGACAATGTCTATGGGACAACTTCCCCACGCTTGTCAAATCCTTTTACTCCACACCCCAGGCACAGGGTTTAGGACACACCTGGACATTAGGAAGTGACTGGTACAGCTTAGAGGTAAAGATGAATAACCAAAGGGGCCCGAGAGAGGAGTGGGCCACAGAGGTGAGAATGAATTCCCCATCACTAATTCCCCATCATTTAGGCAGAAGCCAAGGGGCCACCCGGCAGAGATGCTGACAGGAGGTTCTAAGATCAGGTAAGAGCTGGACTAGTTAATTTCTGAGTTTTCTTCCAGCCCTAAAAATCTCAGATACTATTTTGTCTTGCATTAGAATAGATTCAAGACATTGCCTTTGGGGGGAAAATAGTAATCAAAATGTAAATACCATGGGAATAATAGATTTGGCCTAATTATCAGCGATTACTCAGAGTTTGTCATTATTTCCGTACAATATATCCCAAAGTTCCGGAAAACAAATCAAAGAAAGTACCACGGCCGGTGCCATTAATAGAAGCAAAACACTTCAAGACGAGAATTTAATTTACTGGGTGAGTTCTTGAGGCACGTTTTTGTTGATGAATATTTATAAAAGTGGGTTAGGCTGGACCTGGTAATGATTGCGAAAAATTTTAATGCTGTCCCCTCATTAATTTACTTTTAATGAATGACTTGGTAAAGCGTAACCATTTGTACGTAATGATTTCATTAATGGCTATGGCATAGGCAACCGTTTTTCACACGTTTGAATGTCACTTGAATAAAATGATACCTTAAATTATACAGTATAATAAAGTATGTTTGTTGAAACATGACAAGCTTCTGCCTCTTTGTACTCGGGCTCCAAGAATTCCTTCCATTTGGAATAGCAACAGTTTAACGGGACTACAGTGATGGATTTCTTCCATTTCTGAGGTTTCTCTCAAAACTAGTCCCTGGGCTTCCACCATGTGAACTCTGTACATGGAGACTTGGAGCCAGAGAACGCAGTGAGGTGAGCCCCGCCTAGCCCCCACCCCGACTTTCCTTCCCCCACCCTGGGGGCTCCCTTAACTGGACCTGAGCAGAGGCCCAGCCCCATTATCCCGCCTCAAGAAGACTCCTCCGGGCAGGACCAAGCCAAGGGTGAGGTCAGCCCAGGGGCGGGGCCCGGCCTGGGGAGGAGCCAGGGGAGGAGCCAGGGGAGGGAGGGGGGGGGGTTGGCCGGGGGAGGAGCCAGAGGAGGGAGCAGCCCAGTGGGGGGTGGCCCAGCGAGGGGGAGGAGCCAGGGGAGGGAGCAGCCCAGTGGGGGGGGCTGGCTGGGGGAGGAGCCAGGGGAGGGAGCAGCCCAGTGGGGGGTGGCCCAGCGAGGGGGAGGAGCCAGGGGAGGGAGCAGCCCAGTGGGGGGGGGGCTGGCTGGGGGAGGAGCCAGGGGAGGAGCCAGGGGAAGGAGCAGCCCAGGGGCGGGGCCCAGCCAGGGGGGGAGGCAGGGGAGGGGCAGTGTGTGGCCAGGGTTGGGGCCCACCAGGGGGAGGGAGCAGCCCAGGGGTGG